ATGGGTCAAAATTATCGATTTTTCTTTTATGCCAAAAAATCATTAGGATGTTAAGTAAAGATCATGTTCCATGAAGATATTTTGCAAATTTCCTACCGTAAATATATCAAAACTTCATTTTTGATTAGTAATATGTATTGCTAAGAACTTCATTTGGACAACTTTAAAGGCGATTTTCTCAATATTTAGATTTTTTTGCACCCTCAGATTCCAGATATTCAAATAGTTGTATCTCGGCCAAATATTCTCCTATCCTAACACACCATACATCAATGGAAAGCTTGACACTTAAGACTGGTTTTGTGGTCCAGGGTCACATATATGTGATAGTAAGCATAGATATCTCATTTAATGTTCACTTTAAGTTAATAAAATAAACATTGTTAAATGCTATTTTTTTAAGCAAATCTCAAAATTAATATAATTTTTTTTATTCTGTACATTATAATGTTGTGATCATTGTTATTAAATTAATTTCTAGTAATTTAAATTAAGCTAAAATAAGTTAAAATATAATTTGGAAAAATGGTAAAAAAAAAAGTTACCAATGCTTTGCAACTAACTGAATTTTGTTTAATAAATTCGTTGAAATAATACATTGCAAAAAGTAAAACCATAATAAAAATAAAGCTAAACAGAAATATTTAAAAATAATAATAAGGAAAATGGCAAACGTACATAACAAAAATTGCTAAATAAATCTAAATCTGAAAATATAAAAAGCTAATTTGAAATATTAATAAATATTATAGTAGCATATAGATAATGCTAAGTAGCATTTAAAACTAATTATGTTGTAATTTTATTTATTTACACAAAATAGCATTGAATATATATATATATATATATATCGGCCACAATATGAAAATCGTTATTGGACGGTTCTAATGTACATGGTACTTCCATGATACTTGTTAAAAAATGTATTATATTATTTTTCATAGTTAAGATGTTACACTCATAGTGTGTACTGTAAATCAAACAAATGTGTGGGCGCCTTTGTGTTCAAAAGTCTGCCCTGCCTGGAGCTGTCGCAGCAGGTGCTTCTCTTCAAGCCTTTGTTATGGACACAATTGTTGTGACAGACAGAGAGGTTTTCTTTTTAGTTATTGATGGGATGCAGGTAGAAAGTCAAGAGTTTGATCCCATGCAGGGATGACCTATATGTGCATGTCTCAGCGATTAGTGGTCTATAACCTAAAAAGAGTGTCTGCCACATGATTAGCAAGCAAGTAGGACAGGTGGCGGCAGCCGGTGATGATCCACTCCTATGTCTCCAAGGCAACTGTATGTCAGATAGTGAGCTTGCTTGTTAACGCCCCACTAATGCTAGTCCTGACAGCGCCCTCACACTGCGAGGAGAACAACCCTTGGAGGACACACACACACACACACCTAAAGCATGCATCACTTCTGGGAAAGTGAGAGTACAAAAACTGAACAACTTCCTTTTGTGAATGCACAAAGATTAGGTACAAACCACACATAGAGAGCTAAATAAAAACACTTGAAAATACATAGTCACATTCAGATTCAATATACTGTTAGAGATGGACACTTTGACAAAAAAATGCAATAAATTGATGATTGATATAATATTAGATGGAATGATATTTTAAGTCTCATATGCCTTCTTTTAAATAAGCATGATTGAATGAATTTCCTAAATACTACTACTAATAATAATAATAATAATTTTTAAATATATAAAACCAGCTTGCAGAAAACTATTGCAAAAATAGATTTGACTTCGGAGAATCACAAATTAATATAGAAACACTTAAAACTTTATGCAAATACCTATACAAATGCCTATATTTCTGCAACATTATGGGAATGTTAATTTGTGATCATGAAATATAAATCAATATTGTGACAAAAACCTAAGAAGAACATTAATAGAATGCTAGAAATGGGTGATTATGAAACATAAAAAAATTTGTTTTGTCTGTATATGTTTTTATTAGGTTGTTGCACAAACCTACCCTGTAACCTTTCTGGAATGTTTATGATTATTTTAAAAAAAAAAAGGTAACATCAATAGGCTGCCCCACTAAACAAACAAATAAACTATCCTAATGAATATTTAAAGCTTTGATAATAAAACACTAAAGTCTTGTTCACTCTTTGTCGAACAGGTTAATGATACCATCTACTACAATGCCAAGGACAAGGTAAGGTTTCTTTTTAAAAATGCATGCTTGGATATGAACTAAACAACAAAGAAAGGAAAATTAACAAGGTGTTTTTTGTAGTTTGAGAGGTTTATGCTTATTTTTATGTTCCTAGTTTGACATCAATGACACTGAAACACGCCATAACTGCGTCAAGCTAGAATTCAAAGAGGATCCTGCCTTCAAACGCCCTGTTTCATACAGTACAACAGCAGTGCACATTCCCACTGATATCTACGAGGGCTGTGAGTACACACACACACACATCTTTGCATGCGTTCTTTTTTTACAACTTTGCATGGTAGCTAAAATACCAGTTTATAAAATCAATCTTTCAGTGATAGCTCAGCTTTATTGCTGGGTGTCAGGTGTGGACAGCCAGAGGCTTGTGGAAAAACTTCAGACTAAATTTAGAGAGCAGCCCAGCTCAAACGCAGCACGCCTGGCCCCTGAGTGACCCCACAACCCCCAACATCCTCCAGCAAGAGAATAGCTCTCACTCTTTGTCTCTTGCTTTAAAAGGTTATGGGTTATGAATGCTTTGAGGTGAGAAAGCTACTGTAGATCATGAGTAGCTTGAGTAGATCCAAGATGTTTGTTTCTTCATCAGAACAGATGTGGAGAAATTTAGCATTACATCACTTGTTCACCAGTGGATCTTCTGCAGTGGGTGGGTGCTGTCAGAATGAGAGTCCAAACAGCTGATAAAAACATCATAATAATCCACATCCAGTAGATTAAATGACATCTTGTGAAATGAAAAGCTGTGTGTTTGTAAGAAAAAAATCCAACAAGACTTTAAACCATGGCTTCTTGTCAAAATACGAGTCCATAATCCATAATAACGTTCCCTCCAGTGAAAAAGCCCATTCCCTGTTATCTTCTCACATCAAAATCAACCAACATATTTGTTTTGGACTGTTTTTGCTTGTAAACAGTGCTTGATCTTTGCATATTTCTCTCCTGATTCAGACGAGATGACTTTTTCACTGGAGAAAACATTATGATTAGCGGACTTGGTTTAAAGTTAATAATGGTGGATTTTTTTTTATTACAACCACAGCTTTTTGCTTCACAAAACAATTAGTGTGTATTATTGTGATGTTTTTATCAACTGTTTGGACTCTCATTTTGACGGCACCCATTCACTGCAGAGGATCCACTGGTGAGCAAGTGGTGCAATGCTTAATTTCTCCAAATCTGTTTTTCCGATAAAGAAACAAACTCATCTACATCTTGGATGGCCTGAGAATGAGTAATTAAAAAAAAAAATCTCATTGGTCCTTCATAGCTTTATGTTAAACATCACATGCATATGTTGGCTGTTGGTCAAATCGGCTAGCGCTTTTTTAAGACATGGTGTATCACTCTGTGTTGGCAGAAATCTGATCTCCTCAATGATGGGCTCACTGTGGCCTTGCGTTTGTGTGAGTGTTTCACAGGCAAATGAGTCTGATGTGATATTTGTGTTCTAGATCAGGACTGAAGCAGCCGCATTCATCATATGACTCATCTCTCGCTGTCCCGCTGTCTCTCTTTATCTACTTTTACGCACTTCAAATTACTCTTAGTACCTTTTGCTTTCCGCCTGATTTTCTTGGTCCTGCAGTATTGCTTAGTGCAACTCAACAACAGCTTGAATAATAGTTTATTATGTAATAAATAATAGTTTATTATGTAATAATGTGGCTGATTATTCAAGTGTTTGTGTATTCGTATGTGTGTGTGTGTGTGTGTGTTATTGGGGGCTCTAGGCTGTCAGTATGTTTGTGTCTTATTAAGATATGAATCTGTGCTTTTTGCCTCAACGCAGTGTGTCATCTGTCATCACAATCTCAAGATGGACACAGACATGCTCAGAGAGTGTGTGTGTGAGCGTGATGACGTGTCCGTCACATGGATCCCTCTGGCTGTGCTCGTAGTGCACAGATTGGTTTTTCTGTTGACTGTTTGCCCTGATTCATTTAAACTAGTGAACGTTTTTTGTTGTTGTTTTTCTACCACACATTTGGTACTTGGCGAGTGTTCATTTTGGACCCTAAGTGCCGTTGTACAGTCATACACTTCCAGTTTTATTTTGTAATTGGACTTTGATCTTGTTATTTGCACTAATTTTCCAGACAGAAGCAAATAGAGATATGACTGACAGAGAGAGAGAGATCTGGTTGTATGGGTGTTAGCTAATAAGGATGTGTGTGGTGTCTATCCCTGCAGACTGACAGCATGATGAATGAACAACAGGAAGGGTTGTGAAACCTCATCTAATCTGACTGAAAACACACACGCACGCACGCACATATATTAACATAGATGATTGTAAACAGCTCTCATTCACTAATGCACTTCCTTTAGGATCAGTAAATTATGCCTTCATGGACTAGTCTTATATAGATATATGTGACAGCCTTTACTTGAAGTATTGACTTCTGAACTATAGAGTCTGCATGTATGTAAAGAGATGACGTGTATAGTAAGTGTGTGTGTGTGTGTGTATGCAGAAGGGATATCCTCTCAGTGATTACAAGCTTTCATGATTCTGAACTGACCCTGCAATTTAGCACTCTCTCTGCTATGGCACCACTATAAGATTATTGTGTTTGCAGAGCTGTTTCGTGCTTCAGTGTGAGAGTTTGGGCCTAGCAAAATGATTGTGTTATAGGTTTTGTCACTGTATTTCCTTTAATGATCATGTACACAAAAATTGATTAATTGATTGATTCGATTGATCGATTTAATTTATTGTTAAAAATATCAAACCAGTCAATTCCAGCAATTACCAACAAAAATGTTTATGAAGTTATGGTTGGTTTGGAGTTGTCTGTACATTACATTTAAAATACATGTAATTTCTAGGTATCATTGCATGTTTTCTATATAAAGGAAAAATGGTAAATTGTGCAATATTGTAAAACAAGTAATTAAAAATATATTTAAATAATAATAATGCTTGTAATACAATAAATAATATTAAATAATAATGCATGCACAGTTAAACTAAATGAGAAAAGTAACATTCTAAAGGTAAGTAATTATAACATGTACAAATATAAATGTTTTTAAATTAATTTAAATTCATAAAAAATGCCACTGAAATTAAAGAAAAAGCCTTGCTGTTGAGCCTATGTGTGTGTGTGTGTGTGTGTGTGTGTGTGAGCGTGTGTAAAAGGTGCTATTCCTCTACTGACTGCAAGTGTCCTAAAAGTGCATGAAATGGCAATTTCTAGCAATTTCTTTAATTTGTCTGTCCACACTGAATGCGAAAATGTGGCGCAACGCTTCACATTTTAAGCCAATCAGAAGACGTTGAATTTATGTGAAATTTTGAGGGACAGGATTTTAGACCAATGAGATTTCACCATGGACTTTCTAAAATGACTGGTTAGGACAAAAACTCTGATTTAAATGGCCAATAGCTTGTGTATACAGTTGTTAAAACATGCTGGCTGTAAGGCTACCAACTGTTTAACTCACTTGCGAATATTTTTTTTCCAATAACTTTTTAAAATCTTTTTTCCATACATATTCTTTACTATAGGCAATGAGTGAGTATATCAGGAAGGACTGGAAGGAAGTGGTTGAAATAGAGGAAGATGAGATGTAGCTTTGGGCTGCTGATGGACCCTCTTAAAGATGATCGATAGGGTCTGGTCTGCTTTTGAGTAATGGAGAAGGCCTGTATTGATTACACACCTAGAGTGGGAGGAGTCTTGATAGAAAGAGGAAGTGGGTGGCATTGGAGGGGTAGTAAAAGATGTCCCATGGGATCAAACAGAGGCTGTCAAGGCGGTAATGATTCTAATAATAATTTAGTATCATAATACTTAAACTAAACCCACAGAAGAAAGAGATATCAACACCTTTTTTGGGGAATGAGTTATGTGGCATCATGGGCAATGATGATCTTTGCCAGTGCTCTTTTTAAAATGTTAGCATCACTTTCACTTACAGAAGGCATTGTGTCCATTTATGACATTCTCTGGAAAAAAGGGCCCGGTTTTCCTATAATTCCATTAGAACTGCATTAGCTAATAGTTCACTTTGTTGTTTCCTCTACCTCAGTGGTTTATCACTTCGAGTTTAGCATAACATGATGGGATCTGAAGTTTTGAGAGCCAGTTTATTGATTTATCCCTGATTTGGGGTTCATTTTAGTGTTTGTTAGAACAGAGCTCTCAGAAAACATGTCAGCTTGAGTTAAATCCCATAAGACCTGTGGGGATGCTGGGATTTATCCTGTGTATTTGTGTTTGCAACAGCCACTATAATCCTGAATGAGCTAAACTGGACTGCGGCTCTGGATGACGTCTTTAAGAAGAACAAGGAAGATGACCCGTCCCTCCTCTGGCAGGTGTTTGGCAGTGCCTCTGGCCTGGCTCGATACTTCCCAGGTAAAGCACTGGAATGAATAGGAACTCAGATATTTACCATAACTCAGAGACTACGGAGAGCACACAGACACTGTGCAGCCATATATACATAGTTTCTGTCCCATAGCTGATGGTGGTATGTGAGGGTGAACACATGCACAGGGCAGGAAACAAGAATAGAAAAGCAAAAACAAGTGCCCAGAACATAGACAACCTTATGCGAGGGAAAGGGAAGTCATGAGTGCTGCATGACCATTAAATTGTGTCACATTTTGGTTTTAAATAGTATAAGTAATTGAAATTATAAATATAATGCAAGTCATAGTTTTAGATGAACAGTAACTGATCAACTCTTATTCTTTAGCATCAAAATAATATAAAATACATTTTTAATTAATTTTATTAAATAAAATTAAATATTTAGTATTTAATAGTGTGATTGATTGATTGATTATTTATTTATTTATTTTTATTTTGTTCATGAATCACAGACCCGTTAAACCTATTTATATACTTGCATTAAATAACCGATTGTTAGTTGGAAATGTTTGAAATTCTCCTTCATTAGACATGATTGTTGAAGGTTAAACATCCATGATCATTAACTCTGATCACCTTTTGTTTCATTTTTTTTTTCAGTATAAAAATAGTATTTACTTTTTAAATTATATTTATTACATTAATATTAAATACTAGCTATATTTTAAATGAGATGTTATATAAAATTAAATATTTTGTTTGTCCTACTGTTTTCTAACTGTGATCATTCATTCATTCATTCTTCTTTTGTTTAAATACCAGGACCATACAACCTATTTCTACTTAAGAAGTGATTGTAGAAGGTTAGGAAGATAAAAATCATAATAAACCCAATATCCCATCTGCTTTAGCTTCCCCTTGGGTTGACACGAAGAACACACCAAACAAGATTGACCTGTATGATGTACGCCGAAGGCCCTGGTGAGCAGACCTGTGCTGCTTGAGTTTACATTTGTCTGCAAATGAGAGAGATACCAAGTGCTTTATTTCCTCTCTCGGTTGTTAAGCCTGATGGTTTATCTCCTGTGTGTGTGTGTGTGTGTGTGTGTGTGTTTTTATTTATTTATTTTTATTTTGTTCATGAATCACAGACCCGTTAAACCTATTTATATACTTGCATTAAATAACCGATTGTTAGTTGGAAATGTTTGAAATTCTCCTTCATTAGACATGATTGTTGAAGGTTCATTCATTCATTCTTCTTTTGTTTAAATACCAGGACCATACAACCTATCTACTACCTATCTATTCTACTTAAGAAGTGATTGTAGAAGGTTAGGAAGATAATAATCATAATAAACCCAATATCCCATCTGCTTTAGCTTCCCCTTGGGTTGACACGAAGAACACACCAAACAAGATTGACCTGTATGATGTACGCCGAAGGCCCTGGTGAGCAGACCTGTGCTGCTTGAGTTTACATTTGTCTGCTAATGAGAGAGATACCAAGTGCTTTATTTCCTCTCTCGGTTGTTAAGCCTGATGGTTTATCTCCTGTGTGTGTGTGTGTGTGTGTGTGTGTTTGGGCATCTTTTGGTTACAAGTGAAATTAGCCTTGTTGTATTAGAAAGTATGGCCTTGAAGAGTTGATTCTGTTATTGCTCAGCCGTAATGATGATGGTGTTGTGCTGTCTGGGCGTTGAGCCCATTAGTGTAGACCAGCTTCAGCCAATCAATATAGTTTAGCTTTATGACTAAACACTAAAGCCCACACACCTCCCATTGGAATCACAGAGTGATCATTAACCCGTAAAAACCTGATGCAGCATGTCAGTTCTGGAGACATTAAAAGCCTAAATGGGCTTTAGTCTTCTTTGGATGTGTTGTTTTTACTTTTTGTTATCTGCCATTGTTCAAACTTAGTGATTGTTTTTATTTCTGTTTCCCCTCAGCTTTTTATTTTTTTGTGTTAGCAGCTCTTTGGGCTATAGCTATAAGGTGTCTCTCTTTTGGATTGATTGATTGATTGATTGGGTGATTGGTTGATTGATTAATTAATTAATTAATTAAATTTAGTAATCCCCCCCCCCCCCCCCTCCCCTTTTCTTTTTGGTTCTAATTATTTTTTTT